AATAAATAAATAAATAAATAAATAAATAAATAAATAAATAAATCTCTCTTGCATACATAGCATACCTTTTAACAGCACTAAAAATGAGATAGGAACATATTATGGGCTATTTATTGCAAGCTATTAACAAAAGCAGGTCTGTACTGTGAAGTGCAGGACTAGTACAGCACAATATAGACTTAGAACCCTAGGTGGGTAAAATATTTTTTAGAAACCAACAACATATCATAGCCTCAATGACTTAAAAAACATTTTTATTAACTTATAAAATATAAAATACAAAAGTAAATAAAATAGCATTGAGGAGGGGAAAGAGAAGTGAGCCACAATGATTTTAAAGATACCCTGCCATGCCAATGTGCAGATGTGTTTTCTCTATGGTGAAGGGGAGCCTGAAAGGGGTTTTTAAGCTCTTCTGTTCTCCTATATAGATGGCCCTGGTGATGACTATGGAGATGGGAGGATCTGCAAGGTGCGATTCAATGCCAATGGTGCTACAGCCATGAAGCAGGATCCTAGAGATGCTAAGCTGCTGCCGGTACACCATATGCTGTTGCCTCATGACAGTTTACATTATTTGCAGGTAAGCTGCCTGCTCTGAGTGATAATTGGTTGCAACTACCATATGAATAAAGAACCAGCGTTTTTAGTAAAGATACTGAACTGCAGATTCTAGTCCATCTGCAACTATGGAAGTCACTGGATGATTTTGGAACAGGTGGTCTCAGCCCAGTCTACTTGACAATTGCTATTGTGGAGCAAAGTAGGAAAAGGGATTACTTTGTATGCTACCATGAGTGCATAAACAAAGAACAGGATAGAATAGCAATAGCAAAAGCACTTATATACCTCTTCACAGTGTTTTACCTCTCTAAGCGGTTTACAGAGTCAGCATATTGCCCCCAACAAACTGGGTTCTCATTTTACTCACCTTAGAAGAATGGAAGTCTGAGTCAACTTTGAGCTGCTCAGAATTGAACTCCTGAAGTGAGCAGTGAATTAGCCTGCAGTACTGTATTCTTACCACTTGCCACTACGGCTCTATTGTGTATCAGAAACCTGATACACAAATTACACTTCTAAATATATGCATATGGTTTTCTATTAGACTGAGTCAGTCCATGGTCAGTGTCACCTAATCATGTTCTCTTAGATTCAAAGTACTGTATTGCAACAACTCACTGTCCTTTGTACGGTAAGCTAATAAATTGGATTGAGAGACTGGCCCAAAGACACTTAATAGATGTTATGGCTAGAGTTGAACTGAAGATCTTCTTTTCTAAGTAGAATTTCAAATTACACACCATCGATCTTGAACTCTAAAACTGGATTCTGCTTTTGATTCTACAATTTACTGGAGGCTTTTTAGGAAGACAGTGGATAACCATTTGTATGGAAATCCTGCTTGAGCAGGAGGTTGGACTGAATGACCTCTGAGGTCCCTTCCAATTCTTATTCTGTAATCGACTTCATAATTAGAGACATGCTAATAGCTAAATGGGTCTTTATTATTTCTGAGAATACAGAGGCATTTAAACTTATTAGTTTGATGAATGTACATAGTTCACCTGTTTTCTAAGCTAGTTGTTTTCATAAGGGGGCTAGTAACTAACTAAACAAAGAGTATTGCCAGGTTGATGCCAAACTGCTATGTGTTAATTAGGCTGTATTTTCACAATCATCTGGAGTGGGGGGGGGGACATTTAAATATAGAGCTTTTTAAAATTCATACTGTGTAATCCATACAACCTCCCATCTGTTTCTACATCTCTTGTAGGAATATGGCACAATTTTCCTCCAAGCATCTGAGCTATATGCAATAATTCATGTTTGTGTGTTTAGAAAACATCATGGGAGAAAAACAATTTGGAGGTTGATGTAGCACTGCATGGAGATACAGTAGAAACTTTATTCCCTCTACTTAAGCCGAGTTGAACTGGGGAGCTGCTCCTCTAATTATTGAACATATTGAAAGATTAACATTCCAGAGTAACGTGGATATACTGGCTATTCAAGCTTTCCTTTTATAATTGAATTTTATACCGAGAAAAGGGGTATCTGAGAAAACACCAAAGAACCTCCATCTGGATTTTTCTAAAATTCCTTGAAAATACAAATTGAAAAATGAAGCCCTTGAATAAAAATATCATTAGTGAATTTCCCCCATTTCCACAAATACATAGTATAAGAAAGCATGTATAGAAGAGAGAGAGAGAGAGAGAGAGAGAGAGAGAGGGAGGGAGGGAGGGAGGGAGGGAGGGAATTACATTTTTTTGTAAAACGGCATTATGAGCAGATTGTCACATAAACAAAGAACAATTAGGAAATTCAAATAACCATACATTTCAAAGCAAATATATCTGACAGCAGCCTTCTCTGATCTTCTCCATCTTGAGATGGCTTTTGCATGCTGAGAAAAGAGATATTCTAGCAGTCTTAACTGCACAGGAAAAAGTAAACCTGATCTTTGCATGAGGCGTTCTAGCCAATTAGTGGTAAGGCATTGGAATGATTAACAAATTCTTGAGAATCTTTTCAGTTTCATACTATTAACATTTGATTAAAGACAATTCAAACTTAATTACTTTAAACACTTTACCATGTATTCCTTTTGAAATCTGCCCGTGAACCATCTGGGACTTGTTATATAAAGAGAAGAGAGGAATATGCTAAGTGGTTCAGATTTCTTTCTTTCATTTAGACTCCTAAAATGTTTAAGCTATTGGACATTTCTATCAATGGAGAACAATCTATATTCTTCAGCTGCTGTTTGTCCACTGACTTTCCTTTCAGGTTCCTATCTCCCGGAGGATGTCTCACGATGAAACCAATATATTTTCCTCCCATCGTTCGACTCCTTCCTTCCTTCACAAGTGGTCCTCATCTGATGACATTCGGGTGGCTCCTCCACACAAACATGGAGGACCATCCAGTTTTCTGCCTCCAGAGTTCCGTAGCTACCATCCCCGTCGACGTTACCCTGAGGATGAGTTCACTACACTTCGGCAGTTTCTACAAACCGGAATGGCTCGAGGACCTGGCTCCAGTGCTTGCTTCTTCCGCGATGAGATTACAACCTTTATTGATGAAACACCGGTGCCCTCCCCTCACAGCACCCCACGCCACTCACGCGTCCCATTCACAGTACAGCGTGAGAGGCACCATTCCCTAAATGGCGCCGAACTAGAGGGCTCTGATAGGAACCAACAGTGTTCATTGACTGATGGCGAAAGTCTATACCTCTGTGCTGGAGAACAGGGGCCTAGCAAATGGATCATGGGAGCTCATGGGGCACAACCCTTGCAGGAAGTCATCCTATACAATGGCACCAAAGGCAATAGCTCTGCTGTGGATTTTTAAGGAAATCCCAGAACTCAAAATTTAGGCTCCCGTGTTTTTTCTTGATACTCCCAAGAGGATAGGAGTTATGCCATAAGGGAACCTGATATGGAGGGGAGAATAGTAGTGATAGGGTAGAAAAACGTCACAGCTGGAGAGCACAATGGCATCCTGCTCTCAGTGGACAACTTTAGCCCAGACCACCCTAGTTAACTGAGGGCACTCTTTCTCTGCTCTCTATCTTTGGCAGTGTTGTTAGCACTATCCATTTCACACCTTTCTTAGCTCCACTCATTGTGAGAGAAAAAAAATCGGGTGCGGTGAGAAGGAATATATATTTATATATGGAAGGTATATTCCATATATATATAAATATATATGAAATGTCACATGTGTCTGGTTTTTGTTTTAATGTTAATTAATCATGTTTTTGTGCTATTAAAGTGATTCAGGCTACAAACCGATATGTACTTAGCTGGGAATTAGTGCCCCTAAAAACTACAGGACACACCACAAAGGTATATAAGAGAGTGCTGTCATCAAGTGCTTAGTAAATCTTAGCAGGACAAACTGGGAAGAATCACCCTTAGCTAACCTTACCTACCAATGAAGTGCATTAAATGTGAAACGAGGAATCACTTGCAGTGATCATGAAAGTATTTATTATGCATTCCAATGTTGATTGATTGATTGATTATGGGCCATCAAGTCATTGTTGACTTCTAGAAACCAGTAGCTCACACATAATACCACAACAGTTCTTACAGTGGGTCTCTTGGAAAGCATTGTCATCCATACATTACAGATGAGGAGGGCTAATGGGAGACATAAAAATGTTCAAGAAAGAAATGGACATCATCATCAACAGAGAATGATGAAAGCAGGATTTCATTAGATCTTTGACAGCTATCTTTTATCATTATTCCATCACAGATGCAAACGTAAACAGAGCTAGTGCCAAAAACTGAAAGAAAGACACTATAAACAAGCTGAACTTGTCTGGGTTCATATATTCAAAGTTTATTTTTTATGCCAGATCTATCCCCAGAGGGTAGTAGTTAATTCAGGGGAAAGAAAGAAGGGATTTGTCTAGTGTTGTATTCACAGTTGAAGTACTTCCAGATGATGCTTTTAATGTGCAATTAGAATTTTATGAAGGTAAAAATGTTATTTTCCATCACTCAGTTTTTCATGTTTCCTACAACTATTTTTTACCAAAGAAAATTCATTAAGGAAAGAAAGATGGAATTGTGGCATGGTGCCTTTTGGCTGATACTACCTAAGAGACAACCATTTGGGGATATTGAGTATGGATATATCATGCCTTGTTCACTCACATTTTGTTGGTAATGGGGAAACATATATGTGATCCACCTATGTTGTAGCAGATGGTAGCAACTACCTGATTTTGATTGATATCCCCCAAAAGCTAAACAGAGTTGGATCTAGTTAATTAGATAGAAATTACCAGGAAGTGCTAGTAGGCTAGACCAGGAACTCATCAAACATCCCAGAAGACAGCTTTTGTAAACCATTTGATTCTTCTTCCTTCATTTTACTTCTAATGATCTTGATCTTTAGTCCCTTCGAATAATGTTGTGGAACTTGATTTCATTTTTTTTCTTTGTCCCTTCTCACAAAGTTCTGTAAAACTTTTAACAAACCTCTTTTGTAAATCCATAGGAAAAATATCCAGGGTTTCTCTTAATTAAAATGGATTTACAAATAACAAATTACGACAATCGATTGTTCTTTTGTATGTCCAGTGTAAGATCTTTTACCATCTCATTCTTGTAGCCTGTCATCTTTAAATCCACTTTCAAATTAGTCTCAATTCTTTCAAGCAAAACCTTCCATAATATCTTATTAAACACAGTCTATAATGACACTCTTAAAATTAACTTCTCATACATGGTTCAAAAATACCTGACAATGTCTCCAATATTAATTTTGTTTCATTCTGTAATTGTAAGTTGAATTTGAGATTTCTTCTTTAATTGTAATTTTAGTTCCCTCTAGTATCCAATTTTTAAAGTTTTACTTATCCTAAAAATTCACTTTTGAAAAAGAAATTAAAACAAAAACATTTTCCTATGGGAAGAATTCTTTATAATTAATTCCAAAATCGTATTTCATTTGTGCTTAGTCCACTTAGTTCATTAACTTTCTAAAATTAAAGTTTAATTCACCTTTTGCTGATTATTCACCCTTCCCATTTTATATAATTCTTGAACTTGTAGTTAAAACCTATTTTGCTAAGGATCTTAGGAAAACTGATCTGATGTGTAAAATCTGTTTGATCTCAAAGGTCCCTAATAGCTAAAAAACAATTAAACAATTTCTGAAAATGATTAGAAAGGTAATATGTAATCTTAGTGTCCTTTCAAACTGCCTACTATGGCTTGAGCAAGATGACTCTTTCCTTGTTTTCCAGGGTTCTCAACCCACCAGACATTGCTGTCTTGGTCTCCTTGAGGGGAGCAGATGTCTGGAGCACTTGCAGGTGATCTCGAGTTCTTTCTTTGAAGAGGAAATATCAAAGAGCCAGTCTACTCATCAGTTGTTCATTCTGCTGTGAATGTTGGCTCCACTTTTTTCAAAGCCACCTTCAGACTGTCATTTCCTCCTCGGAAATCACAAATAGGCCTTTTTAAGCCAATCACCTCTCATGTTTTCTTAGAACTCCAAATGACCTAAACACTTCTTCTACATTATTTCATCTCAGCCATCCATTCATATCACCTAGCATTAATACCTTTTCCTCAGGACTGCACTTATTTAGAAAGTTGCTAAATTTTTCCCCAAACTAACCCCCGATTCTACCATTACACTATCACTAACCTATGAATTCTTATTGTCATATGAACAGCAAAGTAAATGATACGGATTCATTTTTTCTTGAATACATTTTATTTGCAATTCACAGTGAATTCTGTAATTGTGTTCATTAATTCCCCACAACCAAGCTACCTTCATTCAAATTTATTATATCCTTCCCCTTTCTCTTAGTTTCACAGGCACATCATGTGTCTTTTTTTTGTTTTATCAATTTCACTCAACAATGCAAGGACCGTATCATTTATACTACAAATCACAATATTTCATATGCCACAGTTGTTACTAGATAAACCCATAATTACTGATATCTACTATTGTGGCTTTCACATAAGCTTTCATATAATGGCTTGTTACCAATAAAATAATGTATTTCAGTCAGTTAAGATTCATTTAGGATAATATGCCACTAGTATAATCAAAGGCCAATTTTACTCCAATTTACACTATTCCAAAAACCTATACCATGGATTTTTAAACAAAAGACTATTTTGCAAGTCAACAAACTGTTACAATTACTCACATGACGTCAATTTAGAGATACTTAGTTTACCGATGGCCACTCAGAATATGCTAAATAGTGTACAGGGATATCAAAGTTCTGATCACATTCTTAATAGTTCTGGAGAGTAATTAATTTAAAACACCTGCAACTGGTCTTAGGAATTAGTGCGATATGTATTAAAAAAAAGACGGAACTTCAACCACATTGTTGTAGTCACCATCTTGACTTTTTTTGACCATGTCACTTAGATACCTCCTACTTAATTTCTATTCTTAGTATTTTCCCTGGTAGATCAGGAACAAATCGTCTCCTTTCCTCCACCCACAGCATGTAAAAAACTCAAATCTATTGACCTAGGTGCCTGTTTTTCACATGGTAATGAACTGACTCATATTTTTAACCTTATATTCTATGTTAACAATCTAGATACCTATGGGTAGTAAGAAAAAAACTATGTTAATTCAACTGTAATATATTGGAAGGGAAGCAACCATGCCTACTGATAAATTCTCATTTAAAAAAATGATAGCTAATAGACACCAATCAAACGGAATCTTCTGACATATCCGGGGAAGATCCTTCTGCTAGGGGCTCTCCCACCCTCCATCACTAAAGGGCAAAACTTGAAAAAAATGCATGAGATTTTCCTGCGCAAACCCAGAAATGCCAAACTTAGAAAACCTTATGAATACCCTAAAAGCTTTAAAGGTAGCAGTAGAACTTTCTGGCCAAGGAAGATTTCAGTGAGAATTTTGGAGTATACAGAAGAAATTTTGGGGGGGTAAAGAGGAAGAACACTGGAATGTAATAAGTACACATATAGGATTGCAAATAAAATTCATAGTTAGTTTAAATATTATCCTATGTTATTAAGTTATCCTAATTTCAGTGTTCCAGCTGGTGAAACAAAAAATTATCTATTAGTTAAATCCACTTTCCTGACAGTCTTATAGGAAATGATAAAGCAGTTGATTAAGTTTCACTGATTAAAGCATTAGATCAAACAATAATCAACCGGAGGTATATTTTGGGAAATAATAGCAGAGTCTGGCTCTATTTAAACTCCTAGCTGGGTTCAACTTATTTGGGAGCACCTCTGGTTTGGTTGAAATAAGCCAAAAGTTAGGGATTTGTCAGAGAAAACTGATGACCTGCTATATACAGCTACAGTGAGAGTCCCCTTTTTGGAGAGAGGACCAAAATCTCTTGGATTTTGGCCAATATGGCATTCTACATCATTGTCATTCCAAAAGGAAGGTAGCTACATCCATTATTCAGAATGGACATTAAATAAATTGGAAGGTGCACAACAGTGAGGAAAAAGGAGAAAAAAGGTCAGATAAGGAAATACATTTCAGAAAATTCCTATAGGAAAGGCATCGTAAAGATGGTGAACATAATGGAAATTTTGCTGTTTTGAATAGTGGTGGTAATGTTTACTAAAGCAGGTTTTTTTCTGACAACCTCAAAAAGGACATTTTAACAATGGACAAACTGCAGAAAGGGGCAATCAAAATCATTAACGAATTGAAAGAACTTTCCTACGAAAAAGATTAATGCTTTTTGACAGAGAAAAAACAAATAAAAGAGGACACACAAGAGAGGTATATAAAATAGAATGTACCGGGATGTAGCTCAGGACTGAACTGTGATGTCCTTGGTCTCTCTAAGCTTGACTGTTAGCTTGCAATTGTTTCATTACCTGACTAGGTAACATCATCAGTGCAGGTGATTGTGGGGTTTGTTCCTTGTTTATATACAGTTCAGTTGCCCTCCTTAATAGGTCCTTGATTATGCAATTGTGTTCTGCTTCATCATTTGGTGTTAATCCCCACTTATCTGGGGTATCTATTTGCTGGACTGTATGTTTTCTGGTCTGTGTTATTGTTTTTCTGAGTAATGTCTTAATGTGATGACTTTCTAGTCATTCCCCTTTTTCTTGATCTCTGCACTCTTCAATCAGTTAACTATTTTGCAATTTAATCCTCTTCATTTTCTCTGCACAACTAATGCATATCAACCAGCCTCTCTCCTACAGGTCACTCACCCCTGTGCTCAATCCACATTCATTCAGTAGCCACTCATTCTCAACTATAGTATCTGTGTTTGACAACAGCCATGTGTACATATTAGGTGGCAGGATAAGGGCAACAATGCATTGGCTTGTAAGATAGCTTCTGCATAAGAAATTCTAGCTCACATCGAACGTGAAGTAAAACTCAGCTTTGATTGAACTTGTGGCAATGTGGCATGATATCAGAAGGAAGACCAAGGTTGTTTCTCTATACAAAGCAGATGAGTGCAAAAACTAGAGCTAGATTCATTTGTTACATGTACCTGGAATAGTGTTTGGCAGGCTTCTGACTGAAAGAATACAAGAAGAATCAGTGAGCAAAATTCAGGAAGTGCAGGATGATGTTAGGCTGGGCAACATACATAGGTCTGCTCTGTTATATAGTAGGATGTGAGTGGGTTAAGAGAAATGTAAAAATAGGTTGAGCAATAGCAGGACTGAGTTTTTAAGAAGTGTGCAGATGGTAAAACGAAAAAGAAGAGAGGTCAAATGCACAATACTGTAGTGGAATTTCCTGCAGGTTTTCTCCATGCATCCCTGTTCAGCTTCCAGCCAGGGTCAACCGGGTGCTGCCACCTGCTGTGATACCATCCTCTCTAAAATAACTGATGGTTATTTTAACTGCCCCTTCCACAGCAGTCTCAGTTGAATCACCCGTTATAGCAAAGATTCGGGTGTGTGATTAAGACTCAAGCTCTTTTTTCACCTCTATAGCTGCTTATTAAAGGCCATTTTCCTCTCACACAGAGCAACAGCCATCTGTGGCAAAATACAAGTAATAAACGGTACATACGTTTTACCTGCAAAGGTGAACTTCCATTTAAACAGAGCATTTATACAGTACTTCAAAGGCCGGAGCCTCTATTGCAGGGGTCCCCAAACTTGGCAACTTTAAGACTTGTGGACTTCAACTCCCAGAATTCTCCAGCCAGAAGAGCTGGCTGGAGAATTCTGGGAGTTGTAGTCCACAAGTCTTAAAGTTGCCAAGTTTGAAGACCTCTATTGTGTTCTGAGCTGGGAAGACGGCTGCTTAAGCGTCCATCCTGTCCTCCCTCCCTTTGGAGAGATTCTCCTCTCTCGCGCAATGACTCGAACCCAGAGTGCCAGCCAGGGCTCTCTCGCTCCTTCGCCAAACCCTCCGCTGCAGGAGGACTTTCCAGCCACGGGCGGCTCTGGAGTACCGTACCTTTCTTTCCTCCTCTTTGGGTCTCCGCCTTCTTTTTTCCTTCCAGCAGCCCCCCTTTCCATCCCAGCCAAGCAGAAGAGCGGAAAGTAGCCGAGGCATCTCGCTCTCTCGCTCTCTCTCCGCCCACCCCCTTCCTTCCAGCTACGTTTGCAGCTTTTCTCCTGGCTTTCATTCCCTCGAATCCCGCTTCCCGGCGTCCCCTCTTCGCCTGGGCCATGCTCCCCTTCTCTCTCTTCCTCCTCCTCCTGGCTGGAAGCTGCGGCTGCTTCTCTTCAGGCTCGAGCCAGGTAGCCCCTTTCGACTTGCTCTACGCTGACGGGGTGCGTGCGTACTTCGCCCAGGACTGGCCCCGGGCCTCCGAGCTGCTCCAGCGCTCTCTCCACAGCTATTCGCAGTTGCAGGAGGCGCGCCGAAAGTGCCGAAGCGGGTGCCAGAGGGAAGCTTGTTTTGGGAGTCCGTCGCCTTTCGAGCCGTGGGAGACCAGTTTCTTCGACCGGGTGCTGCAGCGAGCCGAATGCCTGGAGGAATGTCTGGGACGGAGGCTGGGCGGTCAGCCGTCCCGCTACCGAGCCAGCCGCGTCATCCAACAGGACTTTGACGAGAGGGAGCCCTACAATTACTTGCAAATTGCCTTCTTCAAGGTGAGCGGCGGGGAGGGCGGGACCCTCTGTGTGCTACAGCTGCTGATGTGGCTGCCCGTCCTCGACCATCCCCTTCCCCGCCCGCGGGAAGAGCAGCGCAACAGTTTCCCCTCATCAAAGTATTAGCATACATCGAATACCTTCCTAAAGTCTGGGGAAGCTCTTAAATTTTCCTGCAGAGACTCTCGTGGCTTTGAATTTCAACTAGTTCAGTGTTTCTCAACCTTGGCGACTTTAAGTCCTTTCGACTTCAACTCTGGGAGTTGAAGTCCACAGGACTTAAAGTCGCCAAGGTTGAGAAACACTGAACTAGTCCCTTATCCATATAGTTTTCAATACATTCTTTACATTAACATTGTATTTCTGTTCTTTGAGACATTCTTAGAGATGGGTTCTGAGGGACAGGTTTAAAGTACTGAAGTCATCTGTTGTGTGCAAACTCTCTATTGCAGCCTCTTCAGAGATAGAGGGCGGGACATTAATCTCAGCCCTACCCCCCAACTTTATTTTCCCTGCATCTGTATTTTATTTTATTTTTTATTTTCATTGAAACCAGTAGTCAGGTCATTGAGTTTCTTTGATAAAACTTGAGAAAATTCCTGACATCAGATGTTAATTACCCTGTTTCCCTGAAAATAAGACTTCCCTGAACAATAAGCTCAATCAGGCTTTTGAGCCCATGCACTAAAATAAGCCCTCCCCTGAAAATAAGCCCTCCCTCCCTGAAAATATTGCAACACAGCAGCACCCATGAGGTGACCACGCTCGCCACCTCCTGCACCTCAAAAATAATAAGACCTCACCAAAAATAAGACCAAGCAATTATTTCAGGGGTCAAAAGAAAATAAGACCCCATCTTATTTTGGGGGAAACACGGTATTTTGTACTGCTGCCTTGCATGAAATGTTGATCAATCTATAGATTTCAAATGTTGGGCTTGGGCCGCCTTTTAAAGAGCATTGTTTGGAGGCCATTTCAAAATGAAAGAACTAATCTCACAGGATCCTAATTCAGAGTTCTTGAGATCACAACGTGGAATGAACAATAATTTGATAGTCAATGAATGAGCAATAAAATGTTGGTTTAACATTGCTGTTGCTACTGATGTTACATTTATACTGCTTTTCTGTTTCGTCTGTTTGTGATGACAAGATAGTTGGGTGGTGTAATGATGTTAATTTGTGAGAAAACACTACATTGCTCAATAGCAAAATGTCTCGGGCTGACCTGCTGTTGGCATTCTCATTGGGGACTGTGTTAGCAAAGCTGATCCTACAGGGTGAAAGGTTGGAGATCTTGAACTTTTTTTCACTTTGGGCTTACACATCATAACTGCATTTATTTATTCATTTTGTCTTGTTCTTGAAGCTTGTTAGACCACTTCCCTCCTTCGAGTGGTTGGGGAGGATCAGTTGGCATTCGTCGCTATCTAAGGCTGAGAGGGCTTTCAACAGTCATTGTTGTTTTTCTTGCAAATTAAAAGGAAGAAAAAGAAGAAGAAAAATGACTTAAACACATAGAATGTAAAAATATGATTCTAAATGTAATACTGTTTAGATTTTACCTATTTCTATTGAAATAACCTGATTTCCAGAATAATAGTCTTCAGCTTGGTTTATTTGATTGTGGTTGTTGTTGCTGAACTAGGTTTTTGTAGCTAGTTTATTTTTTTTAACCAATAGCTGAGAAGACTTCTTTCCATTTCTCAAGTTTGAGGTGACTCCTTGTTCCTCTGTTTTCTTAGAGTTCTCCATCTAGTTTTTAAAAAAGAGCAATTTTTTTCCACCCTAAGTGGGAAGGGCTATGATAAATAGGTTTTTTTATTCTAATAAAATAAATAAAACTGACTGCTGTACATGTGAGTGTTAATCATGTGAATTCAACCCAGATACCACATAGCTGTCAATGGAATGAGGTTTCCTGCAGATTGACTACACAGAAAAAAGATTTTAAAAATCAAATGAGGCGGTATATTATATTTGCATATGTGTGTGGTGTGTGTGTGTGTGCTTGTATGTCTATATGTCTCCTAATTACAATTAGCATGTGAATTATGATATAATTATGATATAATAAACATTATTTCACAGATACTTTAGTGAATAGTAAGATCTGGGAGCAAATGGATCCAACCAGAGGGATTACTGTATTCCTTTTTAACCTCCCTGCTCCCAGACTGAGATGATTTTCTTGTATTCTACATTTAGCCAAAAAGGATTTTATTTTCTCTTTTCAACAGCTAAAAAAACTGGAGGAAGCTGTCTCTTCAGCTCATACATTCTTCATAGCCAATCCACAGCACCTACAAATGCGTGAGGACATGGAGAAATACCAGCGCATGGCAGGGGTAAAATCTGAAAGCTTTCGGGATCTGGAGGCTCAACCACATTGGGTGAGATATTTTTGGAAAACTGGTTATTATAGAACAGATCAGAAGGGCTGCTGTGTAGAGATTGGGAGTCATTATTCTAAATGCCTAAGAGTATGTTGACTCTTATGGATAATTGTGCTGTTAGCCCTTGCTTTCTAAGGGATAAGAAAACATTGTCCTCATGTGTTTTCCTCATATTTCTTCTTGCAAGTTCTCAGAACAGAACTACAGCATAAAACCTCCGTAAATTTAAACAAGCAGAACAACAGAAACCAGCCTGCAAAATTAGAAAAACCTGCTGGTGTTTAAATGTGCTATATCGTTACTATCAGTACCTGTTTCTTTCCAGTTGGCTTCATTGTGGTTTTAAATTTTAAATTTGCCTTAATTTTCTTTAAACTATTATTATTATGTGGTTAATCTTTGGTGAGATTCACAGCCTTTGGGGCTGGTTGGTAGCTCAAGAGCTCGAGTCCTAACCAAGGTCCTAGGAATTGTTAAGGTAAATTTAAAATTTAAAAC